TTGTACCGAACACTTGGGGTTATTTTCACAAACTGCACGCATCCAGTTAACGAAACCTTTCGATGTGTTTTAACTGAAATAAAAACGGATCAAAAAATGCTTCTCATCAGATCCACCCTTTCCATAAAACACCATGAACCTAAACATTTTACACAACGATAGAAAAAGCAGACTGAAAGCAACGGTGAACAGTAAGTGCATGCAGTTTAATGTCACATTTAAGACTCATTCATTCATTTTCTTTTCTTGCTGACATGTTACATAAGAATGTCCTCCTGTGGGATTTCTGTTGCAGACGTGACAAAACTTGGACCTTTCAAAACACAGACAGAATACTAGCAGAGGAGAGAAATAAGGCAGAGCAAATATATGGACTTCATAAAAAATAACAGTGAATTACAGAATTAAACCTGCAATGACAACGTGTGTGATTTTAAAAAGAAACATTTCAAACTTTTACATTTGAAAAGTAATTTAAGTTTTTTTTTGTAATTAATCATTTCATATTTGTTACTCAGTTCTAATTTTTATTTGATAATCTCTGTGTAATATAAAACATTTTAGATTTATTTTAAAACATCTACAGCATACAAATTGGGAATAAATACATGCAAATAAAAATAAAAAGATCATCCACAGAAAAACACTTTTGAGACAAGATTGTGATCAAATAAAAGCATATTTTGCTGTTGTAAAATCAATAAGGAAACAGTGGAATAAATTTTGTTTGAGCATTTGCAGATTTTGTCAGATTGTCTGAGGCTGTGTATGCACCGAATCCTCTATTTTATAGAAAGTGGTAGTGTGAAAATCAATAAAGTATACAAAATGCTTTGTTTCAAATTATTTAAAATTGTGAATGAATTTCAAAACATAAATTTACTTCAGCTCAGTTCCAGTGTGTGATGACTGGATAAATCAATGTTGGTGTAAGAAATCCAAGCATAGTTATTCTCCAAGTGGTGCTAACCGTGACGTATATTACTGAAAACTATAAAAAATAAAAACACATAATTTTGTTAAAAGTACTTCAAATAAGGAGCACTCCTTCCATTGTTATTATTTTTTTTAATTTTCAATTTTCTTTCCAATTTACAATATATGTATAATAATCAGGGACACACACAACACACACACATACTATATATATATATATATATATATATATATATATATATATATATATAGATATATATATATATATATATATATATATATATATATATATCCACACATCAGTGCAGTACAAAACTGGGGCTGAAGCAAAGTGCTCTGCCAAGTTTAGCCATGTATGTGGAGTTGCAGTAGCAGCAGAAGGTGTTGCAGGCTGAGAGGAGATCGGAGAGACGACAAGCAGAGAGAGACGGGGTATTTTATTATTCACACAAGGCATAATAAACCAGGCACGCTCGGTTAGCAACGCTTAAAGACCCTGCGCTGTAGCGGTTAGCCACTAATGCGACAGCAGTGATTTGGACACGTCCTATTAATAGTGCAGGGGGAGGTTTCCATGCATGTTAATGAAGGTGTGTATTAGCTATTAATAGAATCAAATGGGAGGTCTACGGCTGGGACACTTCTGTGTGAGTGTCAAAAGTAGGACTGTATGCGTGTGTGAGGGGTGGGTAATGTTCATAAAAAATAAATGCAAAATCATTTGTTTTGAATCAATTAAAAGTGAGGACCTGCTGAATGGAAACCGAGACCAGAGAGAAAGAGTGTAATATTTGGTGGATTTATTTTGTCTCCACAAAGATGCAAGCACTTTTCTTTGTAAGTTTTTTCTTTCTTTCTTTTTTTAATCCTTGTCAATGTGAATTTCTAAGGTTGTAAACAGAGCACAAGTCAGATGGGAGGAAGAGACGGAAAGGTGAAGCAAAATGGAGAAGGGCTGTGCACAAGAACAGAAAGTGCACAGTGAGTTTTTCAAAGGCAGGAAGATGTGGTGTGCTGTAGAGGGAAGTTTGGAGGTGCTGAGCGCTCACTCCTCCTCAGCATGGATATTTAATGACCTGAGACCCCGACGAAGCCCTCAGATTCTTCCCTCTCCCCATCCTCTCCACCTCCACATCCTTCTGCTTCTCCACCCCCTACATTGCGATGAGAAGAGAAAGCTTCCCTTCTTTGCTCAGAGTCAATGTATATGCCAAGAGCTTAGAAGCATCAAGGAGAATATTAGAGAAGAACCCCCTGAACCAAGAAGTCAAAGTCAAGAATGTAGAATTGAATGTATGAACCACTTTCTTTTTTTATCCGACTAGGAGAATAATATAGAAAAGAAAATGCATTTTGTTGCCAAATGTGAAAAACTATCTTCAGTGTGGCTGTATCAGAGTTGATTTTTGATTAAAATCAAGAATTTCTAATGGTGTCAGAATAAAAGTATATGACATAGAAATAATGCAGCAGCAATTCAATTATTTTGTCTGAGGCTTGTACTGTTCTCTATTTTATTGCTGTTACATCTGAGTGGAAAGTAAAAAAGTATATATCATGTAGTTTTTTTGTTTGTTTTGGTTTGGTTTGTTTTCTTGGCTAAATCAAACGTGTAACTAACATGAGTGACTAACATGTGTAATTATGTTTTATGGAAGTAGCATTTCTGGTTCTATCAAGAACAAATTCAAAGAAATTTCAAAATAACCTGTATTAAGCATGATTTTATTGGTCAAATGTTTCTGTATTAAACATGTTTTTTTCAAGGCTCTGATGTATATTTATCTTAGAATTCAGATGTCCATTTATTGTAGTTAATAAACCATCATAATTAAAGGAAACTGAGGGTTGAAATCTACATTTTGTACTTGATCTACATGGATTTCCCTTAGTGCATTGAGTATGTGACATAAATTTACTTATTTACATATTCTAATGTGTTGATTATGACTATAAACACACAAAATCACTGACATATCAGGAGAATGTTCAGCTGGTGTGAAACTTTCCAAGGGCAGCAAAACATCATTGGGTTCACAGTTTGTCAATCCACTCAGAGTCAAAAGAGAGACGATAAGTTTTTTAAGTTTTAAACAAAAATGCATTTCTTCAGTTGTGGTTTAAAAAAGAAGCTGAATTCAGAGCTGAGTTATTTTAAAATTGATTATGTTTATGATGTATGTGTTTTAAGTACATTTCCATAAGATTTTAGCAAGCTTTTACAAATATGACTGACATAAACTCATATTTTTTTCACATAAATATACTTAATGCATGGTAAAATGTCTTGCCTGATTTACCAGAGAAAGCTGTACTTTATTGTCTTTCTCTTTACAGAGCAGCTAAAAACCAAATTTTAAAGTATTTTAAGCAAACAATTAGTGTAGAAAGTTACTGTTCGTGCTGAAATGGTATTACTTGACAGTTTGGAACTGATATAAGTGTGGAGGTGTATTTCTGTTTTTTTCCAGATGATTTTTTTTTTTCCAACAGAAGTTGTTCATGGAGGTGAGACAGCATGTGTTTGCCTGTGCAAGAGCACGTGATGGGCAGGCAGGTGTGTGCTGACAAAGGTGACTGCTTTCACTCTCCATATTTTCACACATGATCACATAATTCCCACATTAAAAAACACATCTGCAACATGCTAGAACACTTTAATTCATACAGTATTTGAATTATAGACACAGCCCAAATTCATACGTGTTGGTGCATGTTAGTAAAAGCGTTCTTTGTTTTGTCCGCCATGCTTCTGATCAAACACCTTAGTAGCGGGCTAACCGAGAAGAAGTTAATGTGGATCTAATGAGTTGTTCATCCAGCAGGATGAAGGAGTGCATATGTGGAGTAATGTGAGAAGATATGCTAGTGTCTCCTTGAGGGATGTGGATTTTGAGCGGCATTAGATGGAGGACCGCAGCAAGGCCACACGCTTCCCTCCTCCCACCTTATACCGTTTCCTTCACTCTCCTCTAAATAATTCCCCATACTGGATGTATGGACTCTTGCCTGCAGCCCGACACGCCCGCCCTGGGAGTAATTGATTTCCTCAGAGCTCCCTGTTGTGGTGGTGGAGACGATGGTGGGGGAACCAGCGACGGAAGCTCTTAGTCTTTTCTATATTTTCAGCACACTCGTACATGGTAGTGATGCATGGGGAGGATTACACCAAGACTGAAAGGGTAGTTGTATTCAGAATAGGCTATTTACCCAGATCACCTTTTTTTTGATGGAATATTGTGGTAAGGGTAAAGAAAAGGGGTTTTATTTGTTGGTCAACTACAGAGCTTTACAAAAGTATCTCTAACTTTTTCCCCATTTTGTCACTCTGCAAACATGAGATTGTATTTTGATTGTGGTGTGGAAGAGATTCACCCCCCTTAAGTTTATATATTGTTGAACCACCTCATCTACAACTGTTTTAGAGCGTGACTCTAGCTCTGCATATCTAGAAACTGTAATCATTCTATGCAAAATAGCTCAAGGTCAGTCAGACTATTTAGGTTTAGACTTTGATTGGGCCACTCTAACACATGCACACACATTCAGTTTCTTAAATCTAAATTGGAGCACTCCATCTTGAGATTTTAGGGACTTGAACAATTTGATAATTAACAGAATTTGACTGCAAGCTGAGAGGACAAAGAACAATTTTATTCATATCATTAGACCATCTAAAAGTTACAGTAGATTGTGAGACCCCTGATCTAAAGCTTAAAATGGCTTTGGCTGTTTAAGGTTTCCATCCCACCTGAAGGTGAGCCTTCAGCCCAGACCCTTTTGTATTCTGCAACAGGTTTTCTTTTCTTCCCTGTGTTTAACTCCATCCATTTGCCATCAGCATGCTGCTTCTCTGATCGATGCTCTGCTCGCTGATGTCTTGGTATTGCTTTCGCTGTGCCATACTCTTTATATTTTTTGGATAATAAATTAAAGAACGCTCTGTGAAATATTCAAAACTTGGGATATTAGTATACAAACAAATTCTGTTTCAAACCTCTCCAGTTTAACCCTGACCTCTCTAAAGCTGTACTTAGTTTTCATAATGATGTTTCTTTTGTCATGGTGAGTTTCAGATTACGAACCCACATGCAAGAACACAAACAGAAGAGATCGATAAAGTGTACAATAATAAGTTTTATTGAAGTCAGGGGGGGGGTCAGGAAGCGAATACTGGAGCTGATGACCGGGTCGTCTTACTGCCAACAGGAGAAGCTGGGTTAGAACCGTAAGGTGAGAATCCTTTAAGAATATTCCAGGATCTGACTTACTTGGAAGGAAAGGGATGACGATTTGAGCCGCGACCAGGGCGGGGGTTAGGTTGGAAAACGGACAGGTATGAACCGCTGGTGGAACGGCTACAACTGTGGTTCGATGTATTCCTTTCCCGACTGGGTTCGGGCTTGGGCCACCTAGCCCGGACGCTTCCGAAGGGGAATACACCAGAGAGGGATCGACGAAGGGAAAAGGTGAGCACACGAGGAGTGGCGTCTGACCGGTAGCACCGACAGCGTCGAGGGAGGACACGGAGGTAGGTAATCCACAACGAGGGGAGCTCAGACTCACACGGAATCCGGGAAGGACTGTTCTTGCCAGAACCGCGAGAGGACAGCTGGATATCGAAGTAAGCAAACACTCAGGCGATGAGAAGAAGAAGAGCTGCTGCTTAAATCCATACTCCACGCCCTCCAAAACAAGCTGCAGGTGTGAAGACAGGTTGAACTCAGCAGCTTCCCAGGGGCTCTTGCACGCAGGCGACATCTGGTGAGTGTGATGAGGAATGCCGGTTCCAATGGCAGAAGGAAAAAAAAACCCAAACCCAAAGGAAAAACAAAAAACAAAAACGCAGACCCTGACATCTTTAATAAGGCGCTCTAATAAACCTCTGATCCTTTCACTAAACAAATGATTTTATATTGAGTACAAATTACGCACTCCAGCTGTGCTGGTTTTAGGAAATAATTTAGGGAAACCAAGGATTTCTGGCCTTGCTGAAAGTTTTTATTTATTCATCTTTTCAGACAATGCCTCACACTTAAAATAAGCGTTTCATGAAAAGTGTCTTAACATTTAAATGGTACCATTCAGATCTGTACAAATAGCCATTTGATTCAGTTTATCTGTGTGCTCACACCTAGGTGTGATATTTGACAGATGACTTATGAATGTTTGATCACGGCTCTTCCCCCTGGTACCTCTGAGGACCTAATGATGGTGTGCACGAGGATACAGGGTGGGACTGCGTGTGAGCGTGCATAGCCGGCTGTGTGAGTGGTGATGATCATGTCTCGGCATTGAAATTCAAATATTCAGTAAAAATACAAACCCTTATGTCAGGGATCAAGGACTCGCCTGGTTTCAACACAATCACATATCTCTGTGTGCACTTCTCTCATAAATAAAAGAGCAGCGCTCCACTTTATATCACTGTGTTTTAATTATTAAGATCGAACTGAGGAGGTTATCTCACTGTTCTCTGCCTGGAACTGGAGGGACGAAAAATTTGAATACTGCCAGCACAGTGCTTAGAGAGCAACACAGCAAAGTGGCAAATGAAGGACAACAGGATTTCAGGGCTAAACTCAAAGAGTTTAATAAGGCACCTCTAGCTGAACAGGCAAATGACACTGATTTAGGGCCTCTTAGAAGATATACAGGTGCATTTCAGTGAATTAGAATATAGTTGTAAATTTGATTCATTTCAATAATTCAATTCAAGTGTGAAGCTCAAATAGATTCACCAAGTGTTCAAGCATTTATTTCTGTTAATTTGAATGATCATGGCTTGTGGCTAATGAAAACACAAAATTATGTTTCCCAAAATGATGTAATATTGCTTGCCACCAATAAAAACAAGATTTTAATACAAAAATATTATGACAAAAACAGAAGATGGACTGTCAGAGACTATGGAATCTCATCTAAAAATATTAATGGAAAGTTAAGTGAAAGGAAAAACTGAAATAGTAAAAGGTGGTCCAAAAAACAAGCTTTATAATTTTGCTAATCAAAAGCCCACTTAAGTTTATATAAGTTTGGAAACTGATAAGCTCTGGTTTGTTGCTTTAACAAGTGCTGGAATTTGCGGAGAATAATGACTTTACAGTTCTTTAGTTATCCAAACAGCTCTTTTTTGAACAAAAGTACATGTTGTATTTGATTACAAGAATGAGTTACAAGGAAAAAAAAAAACACAGAGAGTTTTTAAATACCAGGATAAACTCTCCACATGGTACTTCCACACACTGCCAAAGGTAACACTGCCTAGTTTAATGATGATATTACATTGTTTGACTGGTGGGTAATGTGATGAGAAAGATGATACAGATGAGCTTAAGTCCAGCCTGGGCTTCCTCGAGACCTCATCCGAGCCACAGGATGATTGCTTCCATGCTAAGCTGCATTAATGTAGTAATACAGGCAAAAAAGTTGAATTAAAATACTTAAATATATTAACTTTTCAGTTATTTTAGTTAACCTGATTGAAAATAAATTTTGTAACAAAGCATGTTTTCAAGACTACTTCATTTAATCAGAGTTGTTGCTCTGGTGGGAAAAAAAAAAAAAAAACCCTGTAAAAGCTATGAGCCACAGGTGACTACTTATATTCATCATGAAGTGAATTATCATTGCTGGTAACCCCCACATACAGTACGAGCTCTATAACAAACAAATGTTAGCTGAGGCGCATTTTCTTTCTCATTAATTTAGTTGGGAGTTTCCTATTTGTTTTGCTGCTGTTCATTAGTCAGGTGAGGCTGACACGGTGGGCCGCCAAAGTTGGGAGCGTTTGTAACCAGGCAGACAGGAGGTGTGTGTTTGTGTTTGGAAGTGCATTACATCTTGCCTGTTTAGTGCTTAGTGGGAAATGGCGAAGATGGAAAAGGAGGGGGGGAGCTGGTGGTTTTGTGGTAGTCTCACCCACATCGATTGCCTGTTTTTAATCGGGCATAACAAATATAACTTCCCTTGAATTGAATTCCCTGGGTAAACCGTTATAAAACTAACCTTGTTATATTTATTGACAGGACATTGAAATAAATATTAGAGTCATGTGGAAAAAGGGGGGAAGGTTCCAATCCATTGATTTTTGTGATATAAAAAAAAGAAAAATCCCATAGAAGTCATCTAACAAAGCAAAACCTACAGAGCTCCTCTTTGCTCCCTCCCTCTCTTCCATCCCCCCTTTACTCACTCTCCTTAGCATATTAGGTGGGGAATAATGTGAAAAAATGCTTAGCACACGGGAACGAGGCTGGTGTGTGCAGACGTGGGAGTGGGTCCCCTGGGGGTGCGCTGGAGCCCCTATCCCATAAATCCCGGCTCTGGTGCAAACAATCAATTTTCAATTTTAATTATTTACCATGGCCTGCTGGACACAGGCATTTATTTTCCAGGTCTGCCCAGATTAAAAATTAAAAATTAGGAGATTAATATTTTGGCAGAGTGGGCAAAAAAACCTCTCTCTGAAGGGGAAAAACAATTTTTTATTGTCTTTCAGCCCTCACGCACCTGGCAAAGGTTAGTGATAGCTGAACGAGTCAATCAATAACTTCATAAATTTTCACAGACTTTCACGGTCTTGCCCTTGCCACCCTTTTGCACCCATTGTGATTTTAGCCCGAGCTCCATCTGTTGTCGGGGGCCGCTAACATTAAAGCCAGCGAGAAGCGAGGAAACAGGCGAAATGTGCAGCTCAGCATTTTCTGCCCCATAGCTCTCTCTGGGTGTTGGCCTCCACTCTAGCCCAGCGTTTTGATATTTCATCTGTAAATTTAATTACATAACCTGGAGCTTCAGCGGCAGCGGTATCCCCTGTCAAGTTCTCATTCATGCGCAGTCGGTACTGTCCGTGTCATTCTGTGATACAGCCATGTTTCGTTCAAGCCAATCAGTAGAAAACCTCTGCTTAAATAACACAAAATCAGAGTCAAATTGTGTTCTTGATCAAGATTTAAAGCACTTTCCACGGTGTGACCAACCTCCCTCAGGGGTGAAATAAATTACCTAGCCATCTTTAATTAACAAAAACAATTAAGCTTCCAGACCTCACATCTCTCACCCTTTTGTGTGGAATAGAAAAGCTTGCCACCTATCCTTTATTGTTTCAGTTTCCAGCATGATGTATCCTGCAGCCTGTAGGAGGGGGCTCTAATGTGTCCATAAATTTCAGCGCTCTGAGTACACCGGTCGCTCCAAAGTGAAGGTTTTAATGCCGATCAATGTGCTACTGCAGATGATCTCATCCACATACTTGACATTCTGTGTTTAGGAAAGATCAACTTCATGTGACATTGTTAGTATCTATTCTTCAAATTCTGTCCTGTCCATGATTTTTGATGATCGTGATTTTAGACTTAACCTCTTAAGAATTGTAAATTTGGAACTATGTGTCGAAAAAATACTGTTAAGCAAGGATTAAAGCATGCCGAGTAAGTCTTATCGCTCCTTAAATTCAATTATCTTTACTTTGTTCCCATTTTAGCCACAGTGGGATTTACCCATGCATAAATTCAAAAATATTCAGATCATTTCGAGAGGGAACAAGATTTCACTTTCAAAATAATATTTTGTAAGGCTTAGAGAAATATATGTAGATGAAAACAAAAGATAGCTCTTTATCTGATTATAGCAAATAAAAGCCAAAGGAATTTTAAGAAGGCAGATGATGTTTGACCTATGTGGTCAGATAAACTATTGACAGTGTCTTGCAAAAGTATTCTTCCCTATTAAATTTCATATTTTGCTGAAGTACAACAAAAGCACCTCAGTACATTCAACTGAGATTGTATGTGAATAATCAAAAACATTGTGCATATCAATCATTTAAAGAAGAAGAGGTATATGGATGTAAATCACTCGTTGTCTTCTCTAAACACACTCTAAAGTGGGATGTTCTTGGAAATGCCCCCTGAAAGAAGATGTTTGAAAGTATTAACTGCACATTGAAGCATTGAAAGCACACTGAAGCACTGAATTCTTGCTTCAATGTGTAGAAGCAGGAATTTTATACTGACTCTACTTTGATTTTTTACAAAAATAAAATCTAAAGAGTTTGGCATTTGCTATGAATCAATGCTATACACAGTGGTGGTGGAATCATGATGTGGCATCGTAGGCTGGAAGGTCTTTCTGAGTACCTAATGGAGTTAATGGAAGCCCAAAAGCAAAGCTGAAAGAAATGATGCAAACAATTTTCAGCTGTTAATGAAACAGCAGTTTTGAAAGCACACATTGGTTCATTTGCATTTTAAGTTACTTTGTTGATTTTTTTATTTATTTTTTTATAAAAAAGGAAGGGCTTTTACACAACATATGTCAGTGATGCATATATTAGAGTTTCTAAAGGAGGAAGAAACAGCTAGCCTCTGGCTGTGTTAGTAGCAGCAGACAGGTAGACGTGAAGAGCAACAAAAATACAAATAACTGTCAAGGCGGTGGAGAGGGAAAAAGCAAGCAAACAGTCTTAGTGAGGGAAAGGGAGATCTGAGAAGCAAAGAGACATAGGGAGACAGAGAGTGTTTTAGTTCAGAGCAGAGTGTTGTTATTTATCTGCCGGCTGCTAAACAAATAAGGAGACTCCCAGTTCTGTGATTGTCTCTGTGGGGTGCTGTCAGATTTAGGCACGTATCCTCCCCTCAGCATGCAACAAGCTCAACACTCCAGCTGTGCTTTCTCCCTCTCGCTCTCTCTCTCTCTCTCTTTGTGTTCTTAACATGTTCAAACACCCTCCAAATGTTCTGCTTTTTTGAGTTTTAAAAATACTGCTTTGTCCTTCATC